ATATCACAACCCCAAACCCTAAACCCTAAACCGCTTGTAAATCTAATGAGGAAGCCAAAGAAATGCATTGAGTAATCATTCAGGCTTCGAGAATCGGAGCTCTCAGGGTTTAGGGTTGGGAGCTCTTTTAGCTTGGAAATTGAAAGGGCTTAGTAGGGTCACGTCCGTCCATCCCACAGGGCCCAAGACCCCAGAATCAACCCGGCGTAGAATTTAGGTACCCGCACTGCAAGTGTCTTACAGAACCTCTGTTTACGGAAATGCCGGGCCATGGCGGAATGTGCTTTGTGCGGCAGCTGCACCCTCAACCCCTGCCTAAAACCTCGACCACTCGAGAAGTCCTGAATGACTAGATTTAGGTGTAATCGTATCGGCAATTGTGCCGATTCCAATAAAAAAACCAACCCTGAGCCCCAAACCCCCAAAAGCCAAAGCCCCCTATCTTTGCCCAAATATCTTGGGCCTCGGAGATGGCCTCCATGCTCTCTTGAGCCCTTTGGGCCCAGGCTGCCAAGCCTCTCCAGCTGGGGGTTTAGGGTTTAGGGGTTTAGGGGTTTAGGGGTTTAGGGGTTTAAGGTTTAAGGTTTAGGGTTTGGGGGACAGGCTTCTAATCAGGGCTTAAGGGCTCTGAACCCCAAGCCCTAAACCCTAAACCCCAATGCCTGTCACCGCCATAGTATGTGGGAGGTTCGCAGCCAGCCACCAAATTTCCATGCAAACCCGGTTCCCCGGTTAGTTGACGGGGAAAATTGGGTTTAATGGAGGTTTCAAACATTTAGGGCTTCATCGCCTTCGAGCTGCCTGTTGCCGGAAGCTTCCCTAAACCCAAGTTAAGACTACTTAGGTAGCAGGTAGCTCTTGGGTTCCTGACAGGGGTTTGTTAACTGGGTTCGACACCCTAATACCCTAAACCCTCAACCCTATAACTTTAAACCCTAAAACATTTGTTTTCGAACTTAACCCTGAACCCTAAACCGACCGGGGCCTGGGTCTCCCGCGGTGTTCAGGATGACCTCCAAGGACCCAGGACGCAGAAGCGGAACTGGGTTTGGGTTTTAAGGGGGGGGGGGGGGGGGTTTAGGGTTGAGGGGCTTGGGGTTACAGGACCCACCTCCGGGTCTCCCAATGAAACCCGTCTTGCGGACGCTTGAAAACCGTTGACGGTTCGGGCTGTTCCCGATGAAACCCTTCGCGGAGCACAGGGACACTTCTCCCTGCCCGGCTTAGCCCAATTTCGGGCTGAGCAGAATCTCGCCGGAGATGCGGGCTGTACCGGCTGAATTATGGTTTCCACTAAGCTAACTGTGCAGGACCCTGACCAACCAGATGAACTTCTCATGATGATGATGATGATTACTAGTATTGGTAGTAGCAGTTGCTCTCTTGCTCCGAAGACCACACAAGGGACCCTAAAAACCCTAAACTCACGAAAGAAGACACCTACGAGGCGTCCTGGGGCTTCCTAGAAGAAGCCCAGGCTACGCTCATTCGTCTTCGTCCCGAGCTGGTCCTGCAG